CCGGACATGTGCTCTGACGGGGAATCGAACCCTGACCTCCTGGTTCCTAGGTCAACGCTCCACCACTGAGCCACACCGGCCGGGCTCTTTTTCCTTTTCTTTGGAAGCGTGAGCACCCCTCTTCACGGGCCACGCTGAGATATCGGGGGGAGGGGGCGCCCGGCCCAGCAGGAGGCAGCCGATCCATGACTCCCTCTCATCATGGATGTTCCTATCTCTCTCTCCCTCTCCCTTCCTCTCTGAAATCAATGAAAATATATTTTAGGAAAAGACACATCGAATGGTCATTTCTCCAAGAGCCCTGGCCGGGGTCTGAGGCCGGGGCTGGTAGCTCCTCCTTCCCCCTGGTTCGTTGAGGTTAAAGAGCCACACCTCCTCCTAATCCTAGCGGATCTCGGGGTGGGTCACCCCCAAGGACCGTGTGACTGGGGGAGCACCTACTGTGCGCCGTCTGGACAAGGTCGGGATCGGGGCGGGGGGCGGGGTGACTTGGGAGACGGTCTCACCGGCCAGTGGGGCCCAAAGACGAAGATTTGGCTCCGCGCTATGTCCACGCGGTTCCAGGCCAGCGCCAGGCTCAGCTGGTCCGGGGCGGACGCGTTGGTTCCTGGGAAGGCAAGGAGGCTGGCCACGCTCTCTCCACGCCTGGACCGCCCGGTCCCGCGGGTGCGGGGCAGTGGGCTGGGCTCCGGGCACCCATCTTTTTCTTCTCTTTTTTTAATATATATTTTTATTGCCACCTGAATTGATTCTGTAAGATGGGGTACAGTTAAGGTGTTTAGAATTTATATTTTAGCCCTAGTCGGTTTGTCGCAGTGGATAGAGCGTCAGCCTGTGAACAGAAGGGTCCTGAAGGTTCGATTCCAGTCAAGGGCACGTACCTCTGTTGTGGGCTCAATGCCTGGCCAGGAGGCAGCCAAGCGATGCGTCTCTCTCACATCAGTGTTTCTCTGTCTCTCTCCCCCCGCCCCGTTCCTTCCAATCTCTCAAAAAAAAAAATCAATGGAAAAAAAACCGAAACATCAATGATAAGAGAAAATCATGGATGGGCTGCCTCCTGCACGCCCCCACTGGGGATCGAGCCTGCAACCCGGGCATGTGCCCCGACCGGGAATCGAACCGTGACCTCCTGGTTCATAGGTCAGTGCTCAACCACGGAGCCCGGTGCACACTGAGACAGCCTGGGCAGCTGGCCAGCTCCAGGCTCTGTCACCGACAGACACCGTTCCCGGCAGGCGATGGAGACGGTGACCAGGCCAGGCCAGCACCGAGAAGCCGGAAGTCGCCACCTGCCCGGAGCTCACCTTTCAGCAGGGCAGTCAAAATCGCCATCTCCATGTCCTGCTGGCCCTCGGCTCCCATCCGGAACACCGTGACCTGGACGCGGGTTCATGGCAAAAAGACTGAGTTAAGGACGTTGGCAGCAAGAGGGAGGCTTGGGGGGCTTTGGACCAAGGACAGCAGAGACCGACACGTACGCCAGGCAGTGATTCTGGGAGCAAAACCTTCTTATTTTAATTATTATTACCAGAGGCCCAGTGCACGAATCCGTGCACAGGTGCGGTCCCTCAGCCTGGCTGGCGATCGGGCCAATCGGGGTGTCTCCCGGGCAGGCTGGCTGCGGGGAGGGACCGTGGGTGGTTGGCGACTGCAGGGGTTTGGCTATGGTAGCGCACTGGCCACCATGGGGCAGCTCCTGCGTTGAGCGCCTGCCCCCTGGTGGTCAGTGTGCGTCATAGTGACCGGTTGACCGGTCTTTCGGTCCCTTAGGCTTTTATAGATATAGATTATTTTAATGTGTTTATATTGATTTCAGCCCTAGCTGGTTTGGCTCAGTGGCTAGCAGTGATGGCGAACCTATGACGCGCGTCAGAGGTGACACGCGAACTCATCTTTTTGGTTGATTTTTCTTTGTTCAATGGCATTTAAATATATACAATAAATATCAAATATATAAATCTTTGTTTTAA